GGGTGCTCGGGCTTCTGGAAGGAGGAAGCCGCCCGACGGGCGGGGCGGCGCTAGATGACGGAGGTCTCCGTCTGCAGGAAGGACTGGGCGCGGGAGCCGCGGTGGAACTGCAGGGCGCCCTCCGAGCCGTTGCGGGAGATGGAGGAGCCGCAGACCCTGTAATCCCGGCCCGTGGACGGGGTCGGGCACCGGCTTCGCCATTTTCGCTTCAGCTCGCACTGCACCTGGGGAGGTGAGGGCACCGGGAACGCCTGAGCCTGGGCAGGGGCGCGCGGGTGCTCTGGGAGCCACGGAGCCTCCAGCTCTCCCTCCCGCCTGCTCCCGTGTGGAGGGTGGGGCGACATCTGTGTTCCCATCAGATGGACAGAAACAGAAACGGCTTCGGGGAAGAGGCTGGAGGGAGCGGAGCGGGAACTGGAGGCCCCATGAGGGCGGGGACGCAGCCACGCTAAGGCTGTGCATGGGTGGTTCAGGCGTCCCCACTGCTACGGCAAGCGCTGTCCCACAGTCTGAGATAGTTAATTTGTTTTTTTCTGGAAAGATTTTCCTTAGCAGCCGGGGATGTGACAGTGCTGGGCCTCCGTCTCCTTCCCTGTTCCCAGCGGGTAGGGAATGTTAGCCCTGGGAGGGGGTGGGGATGAGTGAGGGGTGCCCGGAAAGCAGAGGAGGGAGAAGGGCAGGTGGCACCATACAGGCTCAGCTTTGCAGAAGCCGTGCTGGTGAAAGTTGCATGTCAAGCAAAGAAAGCATCAGCGACCGCAGGGTGGGGCGGGAGGGTCAGGGCTCAGGGGACGGGGTGAGGCCGCTGGAGCAGCCCAGAGACAGCACCCCTGGCTGGGGATGAACGCAGGGCAGAGCTCGGTTCCTGGCTTCGTCCCCAGGGACTCACAGAATGCTCTGCAGCCCCACCCCCCAACCCAGGCCGGGCTTTCTGGGACTCACAAGCTATGCAGGAGCAAGCCGCTGTCCATGGGGAAAAACGGATTCTGTCTGGACCCTGCTGGGAGCTTTCCCAAGAGGGCTCTGAGAGGGATGGCAGTCGATGCTACTTGGGGTGCACAGAGGGACGGCAGGGTTTGGAAGCTGGGCCCAGAAGAGTGGGTTTGCCTGTGTCATTGTGGGTTCTCTGATGGGCACACAGAGAACTGTGGGGGCCTGGGCAGTGAGTCCAGCCCACAGAAGACAGGCGCGTGTGGGGGCCACGGCACCAGGCTGGGCAGCATTTCAGGAACCAACTGAGCACCTGCACATGGTTCCAAGGCGGCCATGAACTTACCTCACTGTTCAGGAAACAGTAGAGGACGGCCACCACCAGGCCCTGCAATGAGAAGGGAAGGTCAGGCAGGACCCGCGCTCGGGGGAGGGCGGCCGCCTCTGCATACCTACCTGGAACGACCCGAGGCACAGTTCAAACAGTATCTGGTATTTGGAGGAGATGCTGATGGGAAACACGGCAAACACCATGTAGTGGACGCCAAACAGAGGGATGAGCAGGAGCGTGGACTTGGCCAGCCTCCTGCACGGAAGGAGAGAAGCCAGCTCAGCTGCGGGACCCGCGAACCCGCTGCACGCCTGGCAGGGTCTTTCTCAGGACCAGGCAGCTGGGTGTGGGAGGGGCTCCACACTCCCTCTCCACCACTGGAATCGCCACCTGACGAGAAAATCCACTGCTTCTTTACGTGTATGTCTGAGGCCCCTGTGCAGACCCAGCACTCAGGGCCCGGGAACGTGCATTCCAGAAAGTGTCTGTTTCTCCCAAATTCCCTCACAAGGACACACGCTGTGTTCTGGGGTTCCTGGCTGGCAGGGGCAAGATTCCCTGTGAGTGACCCAAAACCTGCACAGGCCCTGCCTGGGAGCCCGGCCCATCCTGAGGCAGGCACTGGACAAGAAGGCTGGCCTCCACCGTGGCCATGTGCACGTTTAAATGATGAGGCCCCTCCTGCTCCCGGACCAGCAGCTCACAACAGCTGGGCTCTGTGGGAGCCAGGCCCCTCAGTCAGCGGCAGGGACCCACCTCATTCCCTCTATTAATGCATCTGAAGTTCGCTGGAAAGGAGGCCTCCCTGTGGCTGAGCTCCTGGCCCCTGTCCAGGGAGGTTTTGCTACTTCTGTGACCAGAGAGTTACACAGAAAGGACCTCGTGTGGCCTCAAGGGTGTCTCGGCCTTTTCTGTTGTCCTGGAAAGCGAATCGATGTTATTGTCCCCACTTAATTTTGTTTCCAAAATAAAAGCATCCATCTCCGAGTCCTATTTAACAAACACTCCCCAAGAACCAATGCAAAGGTCAGCAAAGATGCTAAACAAGATTCACAGGAAATCCAAGTCCAACCTGAAGGGCAACCAAGAATGACTTATTTTGGGGTCTCTGCCACGCAGGCACCACCGGCCTCCCCTGAGCAGGGACAAGGTCATGCTGCCCTGCGGGGTCTGACGTGGGATCCCATCCCTCATGTGGGCGGGCAGAGACGGGTACTCCCTGGATTTAGATACCACACGGCAGAATTAGATTCTCTGGTTTACCAGACTCTTTTGCAATACTCTGGTGCCAGGCAGCAAATGTCCTGCAAATATAGACTGCATTGATCCTCCTAACCTTAGTGACATTATTACTTCCATCCTACAGATGAGGAAGCTGAGGCATGGAGTGGCAAAGTGACTTCCCTCAGGGCACCGGCTGGTATCTGCACCCAGCTTTGGGGCTCTTGGCCATGCTCCTGTCTAACTGCCCCTCCCCAAATCCACCCCTGTTTTCTAAGGTGGGAGAAAAGGGAAATGCAGGCCAGGCACCCTCCTAGGCCAGGTGGTGGGGTTCCTGTGCCCTTCCATGCCAGTCAGTCTGAGCCCGAGGTGCCTTCTGGCCTGGGCCAACCACTTCCACACCAAGTCAGTGTTTAGTTTATACTTGAATTTTAGTTTTTACTTTTTTTAAAAAAATAAATTCTTGATATAAATTTATGGAGTCTTTGCATTACTCTGTAGATTCCCCGGATCATCATGAATTAGCTGGATGACTGGGGGTGACTGGCTGAACGTCTGTCCTGTCTTCACCTACTGAAGGGAGGTCACGATGCCATCTTCATGTAATCACACGGGCAGGGAACGCTTTCTGAATTGTTATTAAGTACAAGGCCTGCTATCAGGGCTGGCAGCAGACACACGGCCACGGACTATGTGGTCTGAGGGGGGACAGAATTAAATGTAAAATAAAAATAATGTGTGGCCAAGGAGAAAAAGACAGGCTGTATAACATGCAAGTGGGCAGATGCTTAAACAAGCAAGCGCACTAAAGAGGACTTTCTTCTGGCCTTCAAATAAAAGAAATGGTGCCTGACTTTCACAGTCGCCAAGGCCAGAAGTGCTCCGGCTGAGTCCTCCCAGGTCGTCAGGTGCAGAATCACACCCTATCGAGACGGTGGGTGTTTTAAACCACCAAATTTTGGAGTGATTTGTTACTTGGCCAGGGAAATGCTGTCCAGTGCCTCTCTGAACTTTGGGCAGGAACAGAGCCCTGGGGTCCAGCCTCGAGGCCTGACCCGAGTCGCCGCACCTCCAGGGCCTTCCTGCCAGCGTGGGGTGTCCTGTCTCCACACAGCATCCCCACCAGGGACGGCCAGGCCGGGACACACACTCACTTGTACTGAGACTGGTCGCTGCCGCCGACATCCGGGGATGTTAACTTCTGCAGCAAAATTCGTATAATACTAATGAAAAGGACAAAATTGACCTGCACAAAAGAGACAGCAAGTTCGTGAAACGGATACGTGGATCCCTGATTTGCCCTGAAGTCCACCTGATTTCGACCCTCCCCTCCACTCCCTCAGTCCCTCCCTCCTTCCCTGGGAACCGCCTGTGGGGGTCCACAGGCCTGAAGGGGCCCTTTTCCGGGAAGGCTGAGTGGATGAGTGGAATGGGGTCATTTCTGTTTAATAAAGGATGGCAGGCCTGCTGTCTGCCCAAGTGTGTGACTCCACAGGTAATTCACGCTTCAACAGGGGCGACTTACAATGATGGAAATTAAAATCGGTATTCGTATGACCCACCAGGGCACACTGTGGTCGTTTGTATCCCAGCAACTGTCGGAGAGAGACGGGAAATCAGGTTACCACTAACCACTTTCGCAAGACGGGCACAGGAGAATGAGCGCCTGCCTTGTGCCTGTGCCTGCCAGCGGGGCCGTCTGCCCCTCCCAACCTGCCTGCTCCCCTTACTGTGGAAGCACAATTTCTCTGCACTGACAGATCGTAAAGGAATCTGTCCCAGCGAGTGACTGTGTTCCGTTTTATGCTTCTCAAAACAATAGTCGGCTTGTGGGGAGGAGGAATGGAGGCGCGGCCCCAGAAGCTGGGACAAGGGCAGGACGGCTGCTGACGCCCTCCACTCTGAGCACGAAAGCGTGTGTCGGCCCCATTCAGCCGACATCAGGAGAAAAGAACCTTCCTCCTGAAAATTAGCTTCCCCTCACTTCCCAAATGGTTTGCATGTGTATGGCAGAGGGTTTAAAATCTCCTTAGAGTGACTGAGGTGGGTGAGCCGCATTTCATTTTGATTTTCAGTGCGTGGGGTGTCTCCAGCAGGAAGCTGTGACCCCTGGCTTGTTAAACGCCTCAGTGATTCTCCCCAGGGTCTACACCCTGCACTGGAGTCTACAGCCCTCCCATAAAGCAGACACTCCGTCGCAGGCCTGGGTCCATGCAGGAACCTTCCGGCTGGTGCAGTCTCAGACTGGCCGAAGGGGACCAAAGGGGACCAGTCCTTAAGGCCAGAAGTGCCCCTGCTGAGTCCTCCCAGGCCGTCAGGTGCAGAATCACACCGTAACTAGATGGTGGGTGTTTTTAATTACCAAATCTTGGAGTGATTTGTTACTTAGCAGTGGATAACCGATGCACACTGAGGCCCTTTGAAAGGCAGGATATTTGTGCTGGAACCACATGTGTTCATGTCTGGGCTGCGGTCTCACTTAGGGTGAGCACAGGGGAGAAGCGCTCCGGGCCGCACAAGCCAAGACCAGTGCTTAGGGAGTGCTGGGGGGCCCTGCAGCCACCATCACCTGACCTTCCACTTTGCTACAGGTAAACAACGTGCAGGGCACTTGGTTTTCTTCTGTGGACATCGCTGTGCCCACCGAAGGGGCTGCCCCAGTCTCTGCCTGGTTTATCCCAATCTCAACTATGCTGCAAAACCTGGCTCACTTCCTGTCTCCTGCACGGGGCTTCCTCCAATACTCCAACCTCATAGGATTTCTCCCCATGAATCGCCCAGAAGCTTCCTGTGTGGCTGTCGGTTGGCCGCAAACACTCCCTGTCCTTCCAACCAGGTAACCTCCTGGCTTCCAAAGGACTTCGTGTTGCCAGATGTTGCCGGGCCCGTTTTCGAGGTTGTGGTCTGGGCATGGACTCACCCGGTGTCTTCTAAGTAGAGCCTGGCTGCAGTCCACGCACCGATGCACACGGTGGGGAGGCCTACAGAGAGATGCCCGGTTACGCGGGTGGATCAGAGCGGCGCACACGCACACAGGTGGGTGCCTTCACCAGCAAAACCCTCAAGGACACTCCTTCTCACGGGAATATTAAGTGCAATCTCTTGTTTAAAGTCTTTGTAAATATTTACAAGTTTATGCTCATGCCTTAGTAAGCAGTGAAGATAATTAAACACATGCTTGAGAGCCGAGAATCTGAGACTTGCCATTCCACATGGGAAGTGTTACTACTGAAGGCCACGGAGTTGAACGTGTGGAGGAGGAGATGTGTTCACTGATTTTGCGGCCACCCGCGGAGCTATCGGCTGCGTTTGCCTCATCCTGTCCATGAGGATGTCCCGAATCTGCACCCCTTTGCAACCCTGGGCAAGGCAAGGCTTCCGCTACCTGGTATGGCCTCAAGCCCTCTCCTCTCTGATCCCCACCCTCAGTGAAAGGTGAACTGGGTAGAGGTGGGGAGGAGGACACTGTTAACAGCCCAGTTTGAATTAGGGTAAAAGGGGCCAGGAATGGGAGTATTTTAAACTGGGTTCCTGTAATGTGTTGTTCGTAGGGGCCTCCAGTCATCCTAGAAGAGCTCTTCATGATATGACCCTGACATGCATTCTACAGGGGCGGCAAAGTGTTTTTCTGAGCAGAAAGTGATTGCGTTGTTTGGTCAGATGGGATGGGATGGAGGTTTTGTGGGTGGGACGGGGCACGCTTACCCCATCCGATCAGGAGGTAGGCCAGGAAGCACCTTCCGGGGGGGAGCACCGCCACCAGGAGGGTGTGGAGGTACAGCCCCTCCACCAGCAGCCAGAAGAAGTTGGCCATGATGCAGTACTGCAGGAAGACCAGGCTCAGCTTGCAGCCCACCTGGAAACCGCAAACAGAGGAGAGCATGACCGCATCCGGTAACAACAGCTCCAGCAGGCAGTGCCGCTGCAGCACACAGGGCGCTTGGTATCTGTGCAAGGAAGGAGGAGACACCGGTGCCATCAGGAAGGGAAGTGATTAACACAGTGGCCAGGGTGCTGGCCAGGAATGCCTGCTGGTAGCACCGGGCCCTTTGTATCCGCGGCTCCAGGGCAAGATCACCGCAGAGGCAACGGTGAACAGCCCTCCCTGAGACGAGCTTACTCACTGTTGCGGGCCAGGAGCTCACTTACTGCTGGAAGGTCTTAGGCCGCACAGCTCCCTGGCCCTCCTGTTCTCGGCCCCTCCCCTTGGCTCCTCCACTTCCCCTTCTCTGACCTGCTTCCCCACAGGAACCCCCGCAGTGGTCCTGCCAGCCAGCAAAGAAGAACCAGAAGAGCCAGCAGGAGGTCCCAGGGGCGAGGTGTGGGTGGCAGGGGCCCTGCAGCTGCCCAGGACTCTGGCCTCTGTCCCTTTGTGTGAACAGAGCACGAGTGCAGGTACAGGGTGGGGCACCCGCCAGTTGCCCTCACTAGCAGCTGTGCCTGGGGAGAGAAAACGATGGACCCACACCAGGCCCCCAGACTTTTCTTTTGAATTTTTGACAACTATGTAAGTTCCTCAATTGTAAAAAACTGGTTTTAATATTGGGTAACTTAATAAAACATGAAAAAATAAAGGGGAAAACAAGAGAAATCTAGCAAATAAAATATTTTCTGAGGATATTTTAAAAGGATTTTCACTGGGAAAGAATTACATATTATATAAAATAAACCTATTTTAATCTCTCAGACCTTCATCTAACTAAATGTACCAGGCATTTCAGCTTCATGAGCAACCACGAAACTGCTACTTTTAATCACTAAGCTTATATAAAGTGTGCTGAAAAATAGTATTTTCATTTCCATTCTTATTTCTACATTTATGTTCATATATATCTATAGACATATATAGGTAGATATACACATGTACAGGCAGATATAGGTATATCTGATACATATATCAGATGGATACACCTATACATATTTGTAGGTGGATATACTTATATATATGGGTAGATATACTATATACATATAGCAGATGGATATCCCTATACATATACATGGGTGAATATATTTTTACATATGGGTAGATATATATGGGTGGATATACTTATACGTGTATATGGGCAGATATACTTATACTTTCATATGGTGGCCTTTCAATTTGGCCTCCAGGGTCCTGAGAGCCACCGAGCCCTGCAGGCTGCCCCTGACCTTCCCAGCGCTCTGGATCTGCCTTGCCTTCTTCCGCTTTTTCTTTTTCCTAAGAACAGCAGGGTAGGTGCTTCATTTTCTGAGGCACTGCACAGGTGAGAGTTACCCTTATTGTCCATCTTTGCCACCACAGTGAGCCGAGCGCCTGCATGCGGATCTCGTGTATCAACACCTGCTGAATGGACACTCAGATCCCAGCAAGTTCTGCCCTGGGCATCAGGACAGAGCCTCTTACGTGGAAAGACACACATGATAACACAGCCATGAACACAGGAGAGTCACAGTAAGTCCATTTGTGGCTTATTGCCACTCATTTGAATAGTAAAGTGAAATAAATCAAGTTTTAAAATCTCTGGGAGGTGGGATTCTGGGAGTTGGTGACCCATCTGGATGCAACGTGCCTTCCTTTGTCTCTCGGTAAAAGACCGCGTCTTAAACACAAGGAGTAAATTGCAGATGAACCAAGACACAAATGAACAATCTCAGAACAGAAATCTCTTAACTAAGATGGGAAATCTGAAATGAAAACAAGAAGTGTTAAAAGGACAGAAGGCAATTTTGGTTATATAAACTTTAAAAGCTTTTGGATGGCAAAAATACCATAAAAATACAATTGACAAATGATGAATTTGGAAACATATTTACAATGGAAATGACAAATGTTTAATTTTTATGATACCAATATTACAGATGAATGTGGTGTTTTAGAGGGCCGGAACAGCTTGTGGAAAGATGCCAGTTCTCAGCAGGTGCCCTGCCCCGGAGTGTGCATGAGAGCCACAGAGGCAGTGCCAACGCCACCAGACAGGCAAAACGGCAAAACCAGTCAGGACTTTGGGCTCTGGTGTGATCCTACGTGCAGCTGTCAGCTGTCTCAGCCTTTTGGAAGGCAACCTAGCAAGATAGATTTACTACAATTTACAAATACACAAGCAGCTGGGTGCGGTGGCTCACACCTACAATCCCAGCACTTTGGGAGGCCAAGGTGGGTGGATCACTTGAGGTCAGGAGTTCAAGACCAGCCTGGCCAACATAGTGAAACCCCGTCTCTACTAAAAATACAAATAAAATAAAATAAAATTAGCTGGGTGTGGTGACGCCTGCCTGTGATCCCAGCTACTCAGGAGGCTGAGACATGAGAATCGCCTGAACCTGGGAGGTGGAGGTTGCAATGAGCCGAGATCATGCCACTGCACTCAGCCTGGACAACAGAGTGAGAGTCTGTGCCAAAAACAAAACAAACAAAACAAAACAAAAAATAAAAATATGCACGCCCTTTGCAGTGGGCGAGAGGCTTCTTTATGCTGCCAGAATTCATGTGTTGAAGCCCACTCACTGTGGGAGTGTTAGTGGGTGCAGCCTTGCCACAGGGGTGGAGTCTTGTGATGGGATTAGTGCCCCTGTAAAGGGACCCCAGCAACATCCCTCGCCCCTTCCACCACGTGAGGACACAGAGAAGTCAGACCCGAATCTGGTGGTGCCTTGGTCTCAGGCCTCCAGAACCGAGAAGTAAATGTCTGCAACAACAGCACACGAGGACGGAGACACCCTCGGACCTGGCAGCCTCACTGGCGAGTTCCATCCGACAGAAATAAGAACACCTGTCCATAAGACACATGTCTGGTGATGCCCGCAGTAGCAAAAGAGAAAAATAAAGGGCAGAGCAGACCCCACACCGGGGGACGGGCTACGTGGAGAACGCCACGCTACACGAGGGGCTGTGTGCCGCCTGAAAGCAGGCGCCGACCTGGTGGGGCCCTGGGACATCCTGCTGAAGGAGCAAAGAGGACGCAGAAGGAGTGTGCTGAAGATGATTCCATTTTCTTTTAAATGGTAACAAAAACATCTCTGCATTTTTTCCCATGTGCCCATTCACCAAACAAGCACACTGTGAGGAAGGGAGCTTTGGGGAATGACAAGGCCTCTACTGACTTCATTTTCTGCAGTGTGACCTTCACACCTCATTACACAGGCTCCAGAGCACCGCAGGAGGGGCCTCCAGGGCCAGCTGTCACCCACAGGGTTGATGTGAGGAACCCCAGCCAGGAGACCCACCAAGGCCCAGTGCCCAATCAGCAGCTGGTCCCTCCTCAGCCTCGTGGCCTTGTCGGGGAGCCTCTGTGTGAGCGTGTGAGTACGTGCACACGTGCATGTGAGGCAGGCAGGACTCAGCTTAGGAAGCCTAGGGGTGTGCTTCTGGGAGTCCCACAGACCCGGGGGGAACCTGCTGTGGCCGACAGTGAGAATAAAGGGCAGGTCTGCTCTATGTCCCGGGACAGCCCAGGGCCCGGAAACTGTGCCTCTGTCTAGGCCGTGTGGAAGGGGCCAAGAAGAGAACTTTTCATGTTCTTGGCTGATCCTAATGTCGTGAGAAAAAGACCCTGCACCTAGTTTGTGGGGGGCTGCCCCAGCTGTTCTGCTTGGGAGGATAATCTTGGTTTGGTGAAGTCAGTCGGGAACAAAAAATATACAAAAAAATGCAACTGGAAGGAAAGATATTTTTCCTGTTCCTAATGCTGAGGTCTGACTACATTTCTGGCTGACTTGTTTATTTAAAGCCTGAGCATTCTTTAGAGGACAGCAAGAGGGAAGACCCAGCTTGGTTCCTCTCTGGCCTCAGGCATCTCCCTTCCCTCCTGTCCTCTGTCCCCTCCCTCCTCCGTCGGTCACACGCTTTTCCCTTTGCCTCTGCTTTCCCCTTTCTGGTACTAGAGTCGCAGGGCACCTGGCATAAGGGGCAAAGCCGACTCCCTCTGTCCTCACAGAGCTCGACGCTGGGAACAGGCTCCATGCCGCTGGGTGTCGTGGGGCCCCACCTGCACCTGGGCTTTGGATCCCGAGACTCCAGACCAGTTGCTGGGTTTCCCTCAGCTCGGTTTCCTCGTCTGTGAAATGGGGCAACAGCTCTTTTAAAGGCAAATGAGTGTTCACCCACAGTGTCCACAGAAACAGCCCGGCATTTAGAGGAGGCTCTGTGCGGTGTGAGGGAGGCCAGGCCCTCCCAGTGGGGCAGCCACACTGGCTCAAATCCACTCTGCCTCGGAGGTTCTGGGCACTCCTCTCGGGGTGAAGCGGTAGGGGAGAGTAGACAGCTGCTGCTCCAGGCCAGCACCCAGTCCCGAGGGCTACCACTTTCTATGTCGCAGGTCCTCCAAGGTCCGCCGGGGTCTACTGAGGGTCTGTTGTGTGTCCTGAGGGTCTGTCGAGGATCCTAAAGGTCTATCAAGGGTCACTGCTTTCTATGTCTCGGGTTCTGAGGGTCTGTCATGGGTCATTGGTTTCTACATCACAGGTCCGTTGAGGGTCCGTCATGGGTCCTGAGAGTCAGTCATGGGTCTTGAGAGTCAGTCATGGGTCCTAAGGGTCTGTCTTGGGTCACTGCTTTTGATGTTATGGGTCCTTTGAGGGTCTGTCATGGGTCCCAGTGGTCCTCTGAGTGTCTGTCAAGTGTCTGTCGAGGGTGACTACTTTCTTCATGAAGAGCTAAGGGCAGGGGGATCTGCAGAGTGAAGCCTGAAACCATCTTGGTGAGAGAGAATCTGACACTGTCCTCACACTTCTTATGGGCGTTGACCACTGTTATATATGTGGGGAGACCCTCTTCCCAGGCCAGGAACTCAAAGGGCCAACTCCACCTGGGGACAGGGGCTTGCCAGGTGAAGAATCTTGTTAATTTTGTTATCACAGCAAATCTGATTCACAGGCATCACCACCAGCTTATCCCCAGAGGCACATTTCCTGCATGAAGACGATGACGGGCTATGAAACAGCTGACGTCTGTGCGGTTATAAACGGCATTACTACCTTAAAACTAAGCTAATTCAAATCTGTGCCAGCAGACGGACCTATCCAAGTCTAGTGCTCCTGGCTCCTTCAGAAGAACCTTGGTAGCGAGGGTGTCGGGTCGAGAGTGAGGTACCAGGGGCTTGAATCTTTCATAAAGATACTGAACATGTGGAGTGCTCTGGGCCAGCAGGGATGTGCTTGGTAGAACGGCCTGCATGTAGGAGGCACTCAATAGCACTTGCTATGTTAAACTGACTTGATTAGGTGCTAGATAACCACCAATAACCGCCACAAATACAGCCGAGGGAGAAGGGCGTAGGTGGAGTGAAACATCCTGTACTGCATTTGTAGGACCTAATAATTAAGATTATCCTCAAATCAAAGAGTTGGACCCAAGATATTCACAGACACGCAACTGGGTTCACAATCAGGCTTTGCATGGAATTTACCCATAGCACAGATCAAGTTCTTCCAGCAATCTGGAAGGAAGTCTTTACTGCTCAGAGTCTAGGAGATTCAGATAGAAAGCAACAGAGTTGTGTGTGTTCATCTGTACCAAGGTTCCTCAACCCAGATGTGTATGAGGAAGGGTGTGCCTTTCCTCAGTCTAGCTCCATGGGGGTCAGAGCTCAGGGCCCTTTCACTTCCCAGCCCTGACGGTGCCTGGGACCTCCACCCTCCCTGCCTCAGTGCCACCCCCATGTCTCAGCACCAACTGGGCCTGCTCTGGCCCCAGCCTGTCTGCCAGGCTCTCTGTTTCTCAGCCAGGGACCCTGCACCAGCACTGAGACGTCCTCATCGTGAGAAGGGGGAACAGAGACAAAGGGACAAGACAGTGGGACCCTGTGGTGGGGACAGCCTTACCCAGGAGGACGGCTGGTTGGGACAGTGCAACGTGCCCGAACTGGAGTAGAGAACGTCGTCCTTGACCAGCACTGAGATGGCTCTCAGGATGAAGGACAGGAACAGGTTCAGATGGATGTAATTCCTGGTGCAGTGCAGCTTCCTGAGGTGGGGGAGTGGGGGAGAGAGGAATTGGTGGGGGAAGGGGAGGGACGGAGAGAGGGAGAGAGAACCAGACAGACATGAGAAACTCATACTATGATCAGAGAAGCACAGAAAAATAAAAGAGTTGAGGGCAAGAAGCAGATTTCACCATGAATGGCAACTGCAATTTGCTGTGGCAGAGAAAAATGAAAAAGCTCTGTTAAGAATTTTTTTTGAGATAATAAAAGTGGATGAGATGAAGAAATGTTTTTAGCAAATACATATTGAATTTGATAACAAGTTTCCTATCAACAATTAAAAAACTGTTAAAATCCCAACAAAGGAGGTCAGTGAAAATGGTGGTGTAGGGACCATTCAAGAAACAACAACAACAACAACAAAGATACTCAAAGGCTTATGGCAACCAAGTGAACCCTTAGCCGGGGGGAAAGGCCCTGAACAGGCAGAGAGCACGCTGCATTTAGTTCACCTTTTGTCCACTCCGCTCCAACATGGTGGTCATTTTGAAGACAGAAGCCCATGTTACTATTGTGGGTACCTGGCCCTGGAGGAATTTCATAAACCCAAGGAATTGTGTTTGTTTTGACCTTTCTGTGGATTCTGGGCAAAAGACTCAGAATCTCAGGCTGAGAAGTGGTTTTGCAGACATGCTGGAAGCTGAACGTATAAGCTCCTGCCACCTCAGGAAATACTTGGCAATGGAGGCAAAAAACAGGTCCTCTGATAGCCTGAAAGGAAAAGCTGGGGAGTGAGAATCTTGGAGAATAAAGGCTTCAAGAAGCTCTCACATGAAGTGGGGAACCTAGAAATCCAGGTGCACGTTCAGGGCAGAAGGGACCAGAGAATCCCACAAGCTGTTATCTCAGGCTGCTCTTTAGGCTCAGCACAAGCAGGCGGTGAGGGCTAAGGCGGAGCTGCAAACAGGCTGGTTAAGCATTGAAGGAGTGCTCCCAACACAGAGCCAGCCTACAAAGGCCTAGAGAGGGCACTTTTTCTTTTCTTTCAGTTTTTTATCTCTTTGACTCCAGGTGTTTGTGGAAATCTCTGTCAAATAACTAGCTGATGACTGAGCTAAAAGTATATAGAGTCTTCAGAGACCACTAAAGACCAAGAGTCTTTATAAAAATAACTTAGAAAATCCCTAAATAAACAACTACCACCTGCAGCAAGAAACAACAAATCCTAGAGGGGGGAGAATGTGATTCCAGAGTCACCACATCAGAATATTCAAAATGCCCAGTTTCAACAAAAAATACAAAGCAAAAAAAAAAAAGAGAGAAAATATGACCCATTTATAGGAGAAAGAAAATGAGTCAACAAAAATTATCCCTGAGGCATCACATGAAATAGATTTACCTTAAGTTTCTGACTTAAGGTCGTATGCAACGACTTTAAATAAAGTGTCTTAAATATGCTTAAAAAGCAAAAAAACAAAACAAACAAAAAAACTCACAAAAAAACCACCAAAAAAAAAAAAACCCCAAAAAAACAATTACCAAAAAAACGAAAGAAAACAAAACAAAACCTAAAACAAAAAACCATGGACAAATAAAGGAAACCAGGAGAACAGTGTCTCAACACATACACAATATTGATAAAAGAGACAGAAATTACAAAAAGTAACCATGTAGAAATTTTGGAGCTGAAATGCACAATTGAGCTAAAAGATTCACTGGGGGAGGCCAAAGCAGTTTTCTTTTCTTTTTTTTTGTTTTTTTGAGACGAAATCTCATTCTATCACCCATGCTGGAGTGCAAAGGTGCAATCTCGGTTCACTGCAACCTCTGCCTCCCTGATTCAAGTGATTCTCCTGCCTCAACCTTCTGAGTAGCTGGGATTACAGGCACCTGCCACCACGCCCAGCTAATTTTTGTATTTTTAGTAGAGGCGGGGTTTCACAATATTGGCTAAGCCGGTCTCAAACCTCTGACCATATGTGATCCACCTGCCTTGGCCTCCCAAAGTGCTGGGATTACAGGCGTGAGCCACCGCACCCGGTCTGGATTTGAGCAGGCAAAATAAGTCATCTGTGAACTTGCAGCGAGGTCAAATGAAATTATCCAGTCTGAGGAGCAGAAAGAAAACAAAGAATGAAGGAAAACGAGGAGAGCCCAAGAGCCTAAGAGACTTGTGGAATTCCGTCAAGTGCACCAGCACACGCACTGATGCCAAAATGATGATCCTGAAGTCACGTGGAATTACAAGGGATCCTGAACGGCCAAAACAATCTTAAAAAGAACAAAGCTGAAGAACTCACCATCTCAATTTCAAACTTACTACAGACTACCAAATAGTGTGGCACTGCATATAGATCAACAGTATAGAACTGAGAGTCCAGAATTAAACCTACACATCTATGGCCATTTGATTTTTGACAAGGGTGCCAAGGACATTCAATAGGGAAAGAACAGTCTTTTTAACGACTGGTGCTGTGATGACTAGATGTCCATATGTAAAATCATACAGCTGGACCCCTACCTCACAGCATATTAAAAATTACTCAGAATGAATCAATGACCTAAACATAAGAGCTAAAACCGTAAAACTCTTCTGAAAAAATATAGGAGCAAATATTCATGACCTTTGGATTTCCTGTGTACTTGTGATGTCAGCCACAAGTCTATTAGGCTCTGTTGGATTTCTTATGTTCTTATGCATGATACCAAAAGCACAGCAAGTAAACAACAGAAAAAGTGGACTTCATCAACATTGAAAACTTTTATGTATTAAAGGACATTACTAAGAGAGTTCAGAGAAAACCTACAGAATGGGAGAAAATGTCTGGAAATTAT